CTTAGGAATCAACTTATCTATATGGTCTGACCAACTTAGGTGGCTATCAATTTGCAAGCCAAGGAATTTCATATTTACTGACTCTTCTATATATTTTCCATTATATCCAATATTTAAAACATACTGAGGAGTATTTTTTGTTGTAAATTTCATTACTTTCGTTTTATCAAGATTTAGGGCAAGTCTGTTTGCATTGAACCATTTATTCATGTGAGAGAGTGCTCTGTTAGACATTGCACAGAAATCATCAAAATTTTTACTAGAAATTATGACACTTGTATCATCAGCAAATATTATGGGTTCTGATGAGATATTTATTATTGGTGGAGGGTCATTTATTATGAAAAGCAAGGGTCCCAGGATGGATCCTTGGAACTCCATGTTTTATTGTTCTCCAGTCTGAGAAGAAATTCTGACTGTATTTAGGCGATTTTATTTCAACCTTTTGTTTTCTATTTGTTAGATAGGATTTGAACCATTTTAACACTGTTCCTCAAATGCCATAGAATTTTATTTTCATGATTTACACAATCAAAAGCCTTCGCTAAATCACAGAAAATTCCTCCCACATGTTTCTTTTTTTTTTGGTTAATGGATTTTAAGACACTGTCTGTTAGCTTGAAGACTGCATCTTCAGTGGATATACCTTTCCTCTTTATAAACAAGAAACAAAAACATGTAACATAGAAGCCAGAATTGAACATACACATAGAAAAACACTGAAACGCCTAGCTCAAGAAATTGGACTGTCAAAGTCTAGTGCAAGAACATCAACACAATTGCTGAAGCTTATACCCTACAAAACAGTGGTAGTCCACTCATGCCTTGCAGCCGTGTGATCCAGCTAGCAGGGTTCATTTTTTAATTTGGTTTCTACAGACTGTTGTCAAAGGTGAGATCGATCTGAAATTGACACTCTTTTCTAATGAAGCGTGGTTTCACTTTGAGGGATACATAAATACACAAAATAATCGCTACTGGATTTCACAAAATCCACATTTAAGCCACAATGACCTGCTCCACCCAGTGGAAGTTGGTATCTCTTGTGCTGTAACTGCAAGAATGATTGTTGGACCTGTGCTTTTTAATGAAACAATTAATTACGTGTACAGGCTATTCTCGAGCAGTTCTTTCCAGTGGTAACTCAGCTACTGCCCACATTGCCTATATGTCTATGCAAGTTTGGCCTGATGTCTTCAGGGACAGAGTTATCAGTAGTGGCATTTGGCCAGCAAGTTCATCCACTCTTAATCCTGGTGATTTTTTTTCTTGTGGGGTTGTTTAAAGGACGAAGTTTGCAATAGTAACCCCTGAAGAAAATATTAGTATGGAAATTGCAAATATTCCTGCAGAACAACTTCAAAGGGTAAATCAGAACCTCTTCCTCGAGTCCCAAGAATGTCTGTGTGTAGAGGGACAGCATTTTCAGCACCTCCTGTGATCTTTGAATTGTAACTATTTATTTCTGAATGTTATCAGTCAACAGGCAAATTGATTCATCAGTAAAATTTGTATGCACCTTGCAGCTGGTGGTGCACTGGTTGCTGTAAACTGCAGAGCCATGAACCGGTCAACAAAGATAAGAACCGCCCTCCAGATTAAGAGCATTCATTTCTAAATCTTACAGTTAATACACAGATCCACCCCAGATTATTCAAATACTGATTTATGCAAATCCAACTTTGTGTAAGAACTTCCAAAAATACATTCATTTAGTGAACAGAAAGTTGTGATACTGGGTAAGCAGATATTTTTAACCATTTTCTGCTATGAAGTAAATTATGTTAGGTACTTCCCAATGTTTTTACTATCTGCAGAGAACTGTGAAAATATATAATATGATGTACATATTTATAGTCATCTCTGACATATAATAATCCAACTTATGTAAAGTTTTGTGGGCCTTAACCCCTCTGACGAAAATATATAATAGCGTAATACAGTTATAATAATTAAAACAGGGTATTTTATATAGTCTCAACTTACTGCTCTCAGGAGGAAATAAATACATGAAACCTCACAAGTGGAAGTCATGGGTTAATTTTGTTACGATATGTCATTGAGAAATAGATTTGGAAAATTTGAACTTGTTTTAAGTGGCTCACAATAAGGCCTGTTGGTGAAACTTTATTGACGACAATTACAACAGTGACAATGGTAATAAACTTTCAGCAAGGAATTTCATGAGCTGCTGAATAGTCATGAGATCTCAAGGAAGATCCTATATTGTGAAGTTAGTGCAGGTTTTGTAAATGTATCTGAAATTAAATTTTTTTTTAGCATTTTATCAGTTTTTACGATAAACTATGCCAAAATTCTTCTCAGGTAATCCACGTATTCCTGTGTTAACACATAAAATATTCTAACAGCATGAGCTGAGGGTCACTATGTTGGCACACAGGTGGATGCCCCTCTTTATGTGGTGCATGTGATGAGCAAGTCTGCTGGGGATGTGATAAAACAGAAGCGGTGTCAGGGGCAAGTGGTGTTTGGAGAGACTATAGCAGCTTCACTGGGGACAGATGGGACCCACCATTGGAACAGATGCTGGCAGCATGCAGCTGCACACGTCAGGAGCCCCCCTCTGCGCCCTGATTCCAATACACCCAACAAACTCGTGGATTTCCTTGTCTCGTAAGTGCTAGGACCTGGAAAATGAGGGACAGTATACAGATAGGCGTGTATGCAGTATCAGATATATTAATATAAGACAAGACCATTGCCACACAACAGCTACGTATGATTTATATCTGTGTGGTTTTAAATGGGCAGCTTTAATTAGATGTGCTGTAACTTTTTATGATCGGTTAAAGAGTGTGAACCAATTATACAACTCAGTCTTGTTGAAGATGTATGTAATCTAAACTGCCTGTGTAAACATTAGCAATAAAATTAAAGTTGGTCTATACTGTACAATTTTGGCTACCACTTTTAAAGAAATCAATTTTTACTAAAATTATACCGAATGGTATTAGTAAGTCAGAACAAAAATTAATTTTTAAGATAATATGTTTAGTGTTCCCAGAATTAAAATATTTTTGCAAAATTTTGTAGAACTCTGTAAGGGAAATATGTTTTGTTGTGTTGAAATGCCATTATGATAAATTTTTGTGAACAGTAAAAATATATTCATAAAAATCACCAAGTCACAGCTTTGTAAAAGTGTGTATGAAGTCACGCAAAATGTTGTTACATATGAATATCAGATTTGCATGGTACATTCTGCAACATGAGAGTTATTACGAGTATTTACTGCACATCTGGGCAACTGGCTACATGCATGCTGTGAATAACAGGATTTTATGGATTTCAGCATTTGGTCTGTAACAAAAATGATCAGTAACATGTGATTTTTATCCAAATTGGATAAGTTATAGGCCTGAATATACATCTAAGTATATTTGGATATTGAAAACTTTTTCACACAGGTACCCTAGAACTATTTTTAAGTAATACTGAATTTCGCTTGTGTGCGTGTACATAAAATTCAGGGTGAAGCATTGTTTTCATTCAGGTTGGACTGTCTAAAGAAGTGAGAATTTAATCTATAGTTACTTCATAGGTTTCCTGTGCAAGGAATCTTGAAGCATCTCCATGCCATTTATTTTTTTGTGTTCAACGATGCACACATAGTTACACTCAGATAAGTGTAATAGAAGATGTGACTTTGATATTTGGTGAAGGAATTGTGTATGTGTTGTAAGAAAATTAATTGTGTATATTATTAGGCCTCAACAGGATTAATGTACATCTAAGCAGCACCTTCAAAAAATTACAATTAAGGGTACAAATTTAAAAGTGGTAGGAAGTTTTGTATATTATTTGTAGTCAGCTATAAAATATATGCTGTATTGACAGAAATATCACAGGTAATAGGATGTTTCTACAGCTCACCCACAAGTCCTGTACTACAGGTGTCCCAGAATAATGTTACTACATAGGAATTGTTTGCACTTGCATTGTTTGGCATCGCAGATTGTGTTCGGGCGCTGATGGGGAATATTTTGAACATGTCCAATAAAAATGCTTGAAACTTCTGTACTACCATTTTTACTTGCTTTTGTGGTTTTCTGTTAACATGCTATAAACAAAAAAAAATGAAAGCGCAAAATGAGCACTATTATGAATCATTCTGTATTTATTAGAGTGTGGAACATGATAAATTTCAATGGCCTTTGACTTTGTGATTAAACTATAGCACATACATAAATCATCATTCAGCATGTGTTTAGAGCAAGGTATTTACAAGAATCCTTCAAGATAGCATAGTTTATGACATATGGCTGTGATCAGTTTTGAATCACTAGTTATGCCAATAAAAATATTATATTGTGACATGTTGCGCAACGAAGGACCCCTACCTCCCCAGCGGCACGTGGCGGTAACGTAGCGCTCACGTAATAGGCGAGTCATCACCCCGCCACTCTCCCCGCGGTGACGTCACGAGCGGAACCGAAGTGAGCGGAGTGGAGCTGAAGTTAGCCGAGCCCCCGCAACCTGGTAGCTACGCAATGCGAGTCAACAGCGGTGACATAACAGGATGACGTGGCACTCATTACGCAACAGGCAAGCACTGTGGCTATATAAGTGAGCTGCACAGCGGCTGCAAGTTAGTTGTACTGTGACAGCCGCCTAGTTGTAATGTGGCCATCGCCGAAGACTGTTCCGAGTTAGTCCTCGAGCTACCTCCGAGAGTTGTAACGTAACAGTCGTCGAGTTAGTTGTACTGTGGCAGTTGCAGAGATCAGTAGTTGTCGAGCGAGAGTGTGTGATCAACAGTTCTCCAGTGAGCGGACTACAGTTGGAGTATAGCAGCCGTCGCGGAAAGAAGAACCGGACGTGTGTGTGATTGTGTAATTGGGAGCGTGTGATACAGCGATACATAGCTCTCCTACTGCAAACGTGTAGCCTACTGAAGGCAGACTGAACTGATTTGCGCATAGGGTTATAAATCGTGAATCCCCGCAACAGTAGTAACAGATTAATGCGATTTGGGTTATAAAGTGTGAAACCCCGCAACTGTGTGATAAGTAATTGTAGCCGTTACTTGTAGGTGGTTGAATAAACCAATTAACAATCTCTACGGCGTCTTTAGTAACGAGACATGTTACAATATATTTCTGTCAAGTGATGATGATCTGAAGATAAGGGCTGAAGCTGCAATTAGCGTGATGGAGTCACAACTACATATCATGGAGTTTTAAATATTTCATATTTCAATATGAAACAATATTAGAAAAATTGCAGAAATTATTAGGTGCCAGAATGAAGTGTGGACATGTTGGAGCTATAGCAGCCTGGTGCCCAGAATTTGTCGAGCCTCATGTTTGAGTATACTTGATACTACAATGTGAATTGGAATGTCTGTGTTCATGTATTTTAAATGGGAATATTATTGGTAACATGGAATTGCTGCATTTAATTTACAGGTACTCCTTGATTTATGTAACAATTGTGTTCTGAAAAAAGTAACAGAGTGAAATCACATTGATCAAATATAATCTACTCTCTTCCCTTCCTTTCCTCCTCTGCTGCGCATACAGTATNGCAGACTGTCTGCTTTTACCGTTCTCACGGTCTTGTCGCTTGCAGATTTCTTATACTTTTTCTTCTACCCTGAAGATGGAGGCGATACGTTCCTCCGAAACGTCGGTTAACACCACATATACACGGTGCCAAATCCCAGAAGACTGCTTTCCTCATAGTCACCGCCGTGAAAGCCTCAAATCTTACAATGTATAAATTAAATGTGAAATTCATTTGTTGCATTACAGATGGGAAAGAAAAGACTGTAAAAGTTTAAACATGTTCTTCAAACTCTCATATATCTAGGAATACCTGCAGATTAATTGCATACTTCTAGCTTTGTCTTCACTTTATTACAGAGGCAGATGAATTTAACACTGATATGTGCAGACACTAATTTGTTTTTATTTTCTTAATACACTTGATGCATATTAAGCTCTATATCCATATTGAGTGCCCTAGTTTATGTCATAAAAACCATTTGCCTCAGATAAGAACACAGTCTCTTAGGGTACGAGTGTAATATTCAGGATTCACCTCAATGTTAAAAACTGTCTGCATCACTTCTTAATGTAAACGCTTCCAAAGCTTTGCACAATATACAAATTATGGTCTTCCTTCTGTTAATTTTGGAATAAATTTCCTCCACTGATCGCATTTACAGTAGCCACATAAAATCCTATTTCAAGAGTTGGAGGAAGGTGAAGTACTTGCCTGTAGCCTCTTCAGTTTCTTCCATTGTCAAAATTGTGTTACTGCATAATTTGTAGCATGTTTACATGCCATGCTAATTATAAAACTACATTCCAAAATGAAAATTCGTAGTTTGCAGTCATTTTAGTCCTGATTTGTGCGTAAAATAAAAAACAAATCATTATGAGACCATCATTTGGAATGATGATATTCAGAATTTTATATTCTCAGAAACATGTATAATGTACTGAAATTAGTAATCCAGCTTTGCTCTAAATACAGTAAAACTTGGTTATAGCAACATCGGTTTCTGCAACACCTTGTCTATTGCGTCAAATATTCAATGGTACGAACTAATTCCTCATAAAGCAACTGTTTTTATACCTTGCTTAGTACGACATGCACAAATGCATCAACCTCGTATGTAACGTCATTTTCATTCCTGAATTTCTCTGATAT